CAGGGTCTGTGTGTACAAGGAGAGTGGGCCGTGAGCTGCTAATTATGGCACCTAGGTAGTGACTTAAGCAGGTTTGTTGAATCATTCTACTTTTGTTTTGTTTTCTTCTGTTCTGTTTTTTTGAGACAGGGTCTCACTGTGCAGTTCAGGCTGGCCTTGAGCTCACTTTGTAGCCCAGGCTGGTCTCGAACTCCCTACGATCCTCCTGATTCAGCCTCTCGCGAGTGCTGGGACGTACAGGTGTGTGCCACCATGCCCAGCTTCTACTTTTGTATATACTTGAAAAATTCCAAAAATTCACCAGAAAGCCCCTCGGAAAAGTGTTGAAGTGCTCAGTAGATAGTTAGGCATTTGAACAAGAGGCGGGTGGAGGAAGAGAAGGCCCACCCGGGGAAGTCCTGAGCTGGAGAGCCTCCTCCAGGAATCAGGTACAGGGGTGTGCTGTGCTAGGTCAGGGGCCACTGCAGATCAGTCGGGCAAAGAAACACATGGAGCCCCGTGAAAGTGCGTTTGAGCAACCGCTGACAGAAAACACGGGAGGACGTGAGGTTGAACAGTGACTGGCTCGCGCTTTCTGAGGCTTTACAGGTAATCCCTTTTGTCCTTCACCTGCAGAAACAATGAAGCATGTGCTGTTCTGTAGCCCTGTTTCACTCTGAGGAAACTGAGGCACAGGTTCATTACTTGCCCAAGGCTTCTCTTGGATCCGTGGCAGGGCCACCGAGCTACATGGCTGTATTCCTGTCAGCGCCTCCAGCATCCTTTGATGGAAATCCACAGACTGTAACAGTCTCCTGAAGTTTCTCTCTTCTGTAGTGATTCCTTTCTCCTGACCTTATCCCCTTCATGTCCTGTAACCGCCACTGGGTCCTGGGTCCTCCCTGCTCTCCAAAACTGCCCCCCTCCATCAGAGGACACAGTCTGTGGACATCAGCTTGGATAGTAGTGGTAGTGCCTGGCTCCAGGTCTTTCCTTTCTGTTGATTCCCCCTTCTTTTTTTTTTTTTTTTTGGAGACAGGATCTCGCTGTATAGTTCAGGCTGGCTTTGAACTTGCCGTAATTCTCCTGCCTCAGCCTCCTGTGTACTGGGATTATAGATGTGCACCACCAACCTGCTGCCCCACTTTTTAAAAATCTCCTAATGCACTATTTTTTCTTGCACCTCTTTACTCACAGACCTTCAAAGCATTCTCAGTGGCACTGAATGGAAACAAGGTCTCGCTTCTAAGGCAGCGTGTGAGAAGGTTAGGGCCTGTGTCCAAATACTGTCTCTGCCACTTTCCTATGCAAAGTAGGCAGCATGCTCATTCAAGGAGGCTTTGAGATGATCAGGTGTGGAAACACATTCATAAGGTGCCTCAGACAAGACAAGTGCCTGGTCCCTAGAGTGTGTTAGTGCATAAAAAATGTTCACTGTGGCTGGACATTCCCCAAAGGACAGCAAGAAGGTTCCACTGGACCCAGGGAGCAGGCACAGAGGGGATATTGCTTGTCTTACTTCAGCTACTGGACGAACAAGAAGTAGCGTGTTTATTGAAGAAAATTGGGAGATTGGGGGGAGATTTTTAAAAAGTAATTTAATAATCCTGTCACCCATAAATAATCATTTAAACGTGTCGGTCCTGCTGGGTGTGGTGGCTCACACCTGTAATCCCAGCACTCAGGAGGCTGAAGCAGGAGTATTGTCGCAAGTTCGAGACCAGCGTAGGCTACAAAGTGAGCTCAAGGCCAGCCTGAACTGCATAGCGAGAGCCTGCCTCAAAAAGACAAAAAAATTAAATAAATATGTCGGTCCAGCTTCTGCTGGGCTTTTCTTCTGGTGTATAAGATTTGTACTTTTTTTAAAACATTGAGATTTGATGTCCTGCTGATTTCCCTTATTTTATCCCAAACTTTATCTCTGATTGACTCATCTTAGTATTTCCCTGTTTTTTAAATTTAGTTTAATTTTATTTATTTTTTGTCTTTTTGAGACAGGGTCTCACTGTGCAGTTCAGGCTGGCCTTGAGCTCACTTTATAGCCCAGGCTGGTCTCGAACTCACAACGATCCTCCTGCCTCAGCTTCCTCCCGAGTACTGGAATTACAGGCATGCGCCACCACGCCTGGTTTCCCTGTTTTTAAAAACTTAAGTTTTCCTGGTATTTAACTTTCATAAGTAGTGGTGCATGCATGTCTCTTATTTGTAACTCATTTTTCGAAATGTAGGATTATTCCCCTAGAGTGGATTCCCACACTCGGGCTCATTGAGGAAAATGTGGTGATCATTTCAAGCTCTTCAGCATACGGTCAGATTTCTTTGCAAGAAGCTGAGCCAGTTCCTACCCAGAGCAAATGTGATGTGCTCACTTTTCCCACATCTCCCTATGGCAGTCTTTTTTGTCTCTTTTCCACAGGGTGGACTCTCATTGCAAAGAAGCTTAGTGGTGCTGTTTTTCCTGCACTGTATACAGCGTTGCTGGAGGGAAGGCCTGAGGGAAGGGTTGGATATCACTTTTTAATTAGCTGTTAGTTTTTCATAAAGGAACAAATGTTCGAAAGCTTTCCAAAAATTAGTCTAAGCTTGGATGGATCCCTGGACTTTTGAAATCTTGGTCCCCTCAGGATTAATGCTCTATTTAGGGAGAAAGAACATATAAATGTTCCCGGAAACATGATAGGGTCCATTGAAAATGCTTTGCAACATCTGTAGGAATCTTGCAGAGGAGGAAGTTGCTAAGCCAGCCGGAAGGAACAGCCAGCTCTCCTGGGCGCCAGGGATGTTGAGTCTGTTGGAATGAGTCTGTGAGGTGCCCTGGCCCCACAGGGATGTGTCCTGCCTCAGCCTTCCAAGCCTCTATCCTCTGTGGGACATTGTCTCCTGGCATCTTTGCCAGTCTTTCTTCTTTGAGTTGGAACTGGGCTTTTCTATTCACTCCTAGCTCTGGGAGCTCTGAGAACCGCTTCCATCTGAGAATGATTAATCATTGGCTGAGACCACAGGGTTATCTGCTCCAGCATTTTGTCGTCTGGCCCCTGCCTGAACACCTGCAGTAGTGGCGGCGGCCCAGAGGGTGTTGAATTCCTTCTGGTCCACGTGACAGCCTTCCACGGCACAGAAGGTCAGGCTCTTGGAGCTGAAGGCTTTCCTCTGACATTGTTTTGGATGTCTCTAGTCCGCTGCTCCCCTCCAAACCATCTGGAAGGGTGTGTCCAGAGCACCATTCCCTGGACACCTTGGGGTACATCCTCCATCAGAGCAGCTCCCTGGTTCAGGCACTCATATTGCAGAATTGGACCCCCCCAAGTTATTGTTCACACATGTAGCTCCCTGTTCTATAAACTCTTCCACCCCTCTCTCAGTTTCATCTGTAAAGTGGGACTCTTTTGACAGCCCACCCTTGAGGAGTTAGTGAGTTAATAATAGCAGAGGAGTTAAAACAGCACCTGGCATGTTGTGCAACAAAAGAAATGTTTTCCGTCCTGTACCCTCCCGCCGCTGAGCCTGGCACACTGTTCGGGTCCCCCTCTGGGTCCCTGAGTGTGCTCAGCAAGCCCTCGGATCTGCAGGCTGCACGGGAGCGGGGCCAGGGTGGCCGCCGTGGCTGCACAGGCCCTGGGAGGTGGGGCTGTCCTACCTCGTTCCTTCTTGCTTCTGTCTGCTTTCTGCCTTTCGTTTGGGGGATTATTTTGGTTTTTACTTTATGCATGTTTGTTTTTGTGGTCGTTATTTTACACCTGTCTCAGGAACATTTCCTGCAACCCGGCCTGGACAAGCGGTCTGCATAAGCGGTCTGCATGAATCCCACCCCCGTGTGTTTCCACTCCGTGTCTCTTTAATCAGATTTCCTCCTGGCTTCTGCCCTCAGATTCATTCATTCTTCATCAGACACTGATGGTGCCCCGCGTGGCCTGATGTTGGCTGCCACACAGGGGCCACAGCAGGGCTGCAAGTGTCCGGGGGAGGCTGCCGGGGTCCTGCTGGCCTCAGTCGGCTCAGGCTGGAGCAGCTCTGGGAAGTGGTGGTCGCCGCTTTGAACAGTGATCCCTTCTGCTCGCCTCTGTCCGCCTGGGGGTTTTAAACCACTTGATGTCAGAACTGCATCTTTCATTCTCCTTTCTATTTTCTCTTAATTAAAAGACTTAAAAGAAAATCTTCTTGCTTATTATTCTCATAGCACACTCAAGAAGTTCGAGGTCTGAGGTATATAAATAGTGATGTTCTCCTTCTGATCCTTCTTTTTTTTTTTGGCTTTTTGATGGAGGGTCTCGCTATGCAGTTCAGGCTGGCCTTGAGCTCACTTTGTAGCTCAGGCTGATCTTGAACTTGTGACGATCCTCCTGCCTCAGCCTCCAGAGTGCTGGGATTACAGGTGTGCGCCACCACGCCCGGCTCTCCTCTCGATCCTGGTCGCCAACATCCATCCGTGCTTTAGTTCTTGACTGTTCCTCTTTCCGTCCCCTGGCTGGAGAAGACAACTGGGTGGGTACTAAGTTGGGAGCATAAGGTGGATTCTTTTTCATGTTACTCGGGCCTGAAGAGTCATCACCCTTTTCCTTTTGTGCTTTCTACAGGGCAACTAACTTGAGAGACAATTTTTAGATGTACCATAAAACTCGTTTTTGGGGTTTTGACATATGGAAACACCACAATCACACAGAACAGTTCCATCCATGCAAAAACTTAGGGGCCGCACCAGGGCTTGTTTATCCATTCACCGTTGAGAGGAGATTTGGACTGCTTCTAGTTCAGGGTGATTGTATGTAAAACTGCTATAAACATTCACCTAGAAGTTTTTGTGGGAGACGGTAATCTTTTAATAAAGTACTTTATCACTTTGGGCAAGTTTTCTTTTCATCTGTGTTGTTCCGTTCTGATCTGAAGGTGGTAAGAATTTTGGCAGAATCTCTAGTGAATTACAGATGGCCATGCATCTTTGGAACGAGTGCTGTCAACCTGTCCAAGAAGGGATTTCAAGAATTCCCAAACAAATGCCAAAGAATTTCTCACCTCTGAAGAAGTACGGGGTTTGATCCACATTTCCCATCCACTGGAATTTATTTTATGCCAGAAGCGCATTGCCTGCTTAGCTTGTAATTCGCTGTCTCTGAGTTGATCTCTAAGTCACAAAAGTGCCTTGATGTCAAGCAGATGATGGAGATGCTCGACGTGGCAGAGGCCCAGGATCTCAGCTGTAGGCCTGTGGGAAGAAAGGCGAGGCTGGTGTGAATCGGTAGACATTGGCATTATCCTCTGCAAAATGGAGCTTTGGATCCTGGAGACTGCGGTGTGTGCGCTCGCTGGGAATGGGATGAGGCTTGGGGATTTAATTTGCTGCTGAAGGGTATTCCCAAATCCTGCCCTGGGTAATTCCCTGACTACCATTTAATCAGCTCCATTAAACCCTGCCCTGTCTAGTCCGCTGTGCTCCAGACACTCTCTCTTGGGCTCCCAGTAATAGCTCAATTGTGTGTAAGTGGCTGTGAAGAGGCTCTGTGTGCTGGATGAATAGGCCCTGTCTCCATGGAAACCAGCCTTGGCTAAGGGGCTGACCTTTGACCCACTTGTTGCCACCATACTGTTAACCACTGGTGCCTCCTGGGTGGAGAAAGAAAGCAAGGAAATGGCTGTCAGAGTTGTTTTCATTTTTCCTGAGTTTCGGCCTGGGTCCCCACTAAGTGGCAGTGACACACCAATATTAATCCACAGCAAAAGGGGGTGGTAATTATAGACTCTGCTTGTCCCTACCTGTATCCCCTAGACCTTTTCTTTATACTGCAGCGCAGAATTCAGCCCTGAGAGCAGGGCTGGTTTATCATCGCCTCCAGAGTACACGGGGGAGTTTTTCCCTGAGGGGCTGTGTGGAAAGGGGGGAACCCTGTTTTGGGAGCCTAGGCCTCCAGGTTCAGGCTTGTGGTGTGGCCCCAGGGCCACGTTTCCTCCTCTGCATGTGGAGCCAACACTCTGTCTGAGCTCGAACCCTGTGAAACTCCAAGGGGAAGACGTGGCATTAGGATCTCAAGGACAGGGGTCAGACTCCGTTGTAGTGATGCCATCAACGGAAGCTTAGCTACACGACAACCACATAGGTGAGGGCAAGATGGCTTTAGGTACCCTACAGGGAGTTAATATATCAGGCCGTGCTTCTTGGTGTATCAGTGGCCCTGTGGCACTCCCTGTAGACCAGCAGATTTTTCTCGATTCCTTCCTTTGCTTTGAGCTGCGTCACCATGGTTGTTCCTGGACCCCCGCAGACACCACCATAGGCAGGCCTGTCCTTGCAGGTTTCTGCGCAGAGGGGCCTCTGGCCTGGGTCAGACCCCCGGGGCCTCCTGTCCTAGCACATGACTGGAGGCCTCTGATGGGATTGTGTAAACCTGCTAGTGTGGACCTTTCAGGACAAAGGTGGCAGGCAGGTGCTGCACTTGCCTCTCTCGAAACAAGCCAGGCTGATGTCTTGACAAGGAAAGTTTTCGAACCCTGTAGGTGGGACAGAAAGGAGGGGCTCGGCGGCGTGTGCGGACCCTCGATGTGCACTGCTCTGGGGTGGAAACAGCGAACGAGGCTGCAGTCTGAGCTCCTTGGAGAAAGTTAGCCAGACCACAAAGGGCAACCGTTTCCCTTACAGACAGAAGCCTCTGATGTCACGTAGATTTCTAGAAGTGGCAGGCTGAGGAGGACAGGAGGACTGCAGGGGGCATTTTCAGTGACTGAGATGTCCAAATGCTGTGTTCCCTAACTTGCCAGTACGCCCGGGCTCAGGGCATCCGATTATCCAGTTTGCGTTCTTGAGACCTCGGGTCACTATTATTCATCACTTTATTTAAAAGTTTTTCTGTTGGTTCTCCAATCTCAGCTGACCCACAATTCTGAGATATCACCGTTACAAGCTTTGGCTAAAGAGCGGTGCTTTCTAGACCTGTCTGGTTTGGGTTTCCCATCTGCCCTGGAATGTGGTCCAGAAGATGGTCCTTTGGGGCACCTTAAACTGGAGACGCCCCAGACACTGTCAGGACCTTTTGTTGTAGTTCCGGGATTCCCGAGCAGTTTGTCTAGTGGTTTGTATATTTGGTTATTTTTAAATTTCCGTCAGCTTTTCCCCTAACACTCAACCAGGCCTTGGAGTCCAGACTTGTCAAATCGAGGGTCCTTGTTATAACTGTGATTGCAGCGCTGGTGACTCTGAGGTCTGCAGTGTGGCCACCTCCTACGCTGTCACTTAGGTTCCCATGGTGCAGAGCAGCGGCCCCTCCTGTGGGCTGCGGAAGGCACCCACAGGTCACTCAACATAAGTGCTTCAACATGCTTCTGCATCCCTCGAAAGTGCCATTATCCGCCTACGGTCTGTTTACGGGAGATTGGGTCGGAGGTAGCGTTCCCGCTGCCGGAGTGTGGGGAGCTGGAAGTGCACACGTATTAACCCTGGGCTGGGGCGGGGAGAGGCAGCATCCCCTAACTCCGCAGCTGTGTAAACAGTCCGGGGGGAGACAGCCCGCAGCTAAGGCGAATGGGGGAGGGAGGGAAGCGTGTTGAACTGTCAGGAGGGGGAGGGGACAGGTGAGGCAGCACCATGAAGCAGGACTTCACATGCCAAGGGCACACGCTCACAAAAGCAGGGGTGACGTGAGCAATGAGAAATGTGAATGGCATGGGCTCGTTAGCAGGGTGGGAGGAGGCGAGGCAGGCAGGTGGTGGCAGTGCAGGTGAGGAAGCCTCTGTCCTCTGGCACGTGGGGTCCGCAGGACGAAAGGCGCCCTTTGCTTGAGGCAAGCGATGCCTCAGCCCTCGCTCTACGCCAAGGACAGTTCTGGTGAGGTGGCAGCGGGAGAGAAGGTGGAGACTCAGTTGTGCAGGACATGGGCCCTATTCACCGAGAGTCCATAAGCTGTTGGGGAAGAAAGGCGCGCACACAAATGACTCCCGTCCTGGCCCATTGTGCGCTGGGAGGGACGTGGGGCGGGGAGAAGACACCAGGTCAGGGCAGCACCGTGGTGCGGTTGCTGCCCTCGAGCTTGGGGGCTTTGGCTGGGACAGTGAAGCCTGCTTTCCAGGTGTAGGGACAAGTGCCAAGCCCCAGACAGAGTCTCCATCGCCATCTCCGAAATGCAGAACGTGACGGCTGCTGTCTGGTGGGGCTCAGACCGGCACTTACCCCGGACACGCCAGTAGGCGCGGTCACCCTGCTCAGCCTCTGTCCTTCATTCGGCAGCCACACACCGCTGCTTCTGCATCGGGGACCCGAGAAGCCCGAAGCGCCAAGTCTTTGCCCTCACGTACAGCCCAGTCTATTGCAGAGGGACAGAGAGGGAGCCATAAGGTACCCAAGACAGCAGTGACGTCCGGTGCAGAGACCTGACCTAGACAGCGAGGCCACGCTGAGGGCTGCTTTGGACGATGGGGCGCATGGGGGGAATCTACTGCAAGGTTCCACCCAGGCAGCGTAGGACCCTCGTAGTTTTGGACAGATGACAGTGCTAGGGGTGGCACCCTGGGCTTCACACATGGTAGGCAAATGTTCTGTACCACTGAGCTACACTTGATAGAAATTGTGAAAGAATTCTCTACCAGTATGTAGAAAAGACGGAGGGTTGGATGGGGTTGAGCTCACAGGGGCCCCCTGTTTTGGAGGTGTGTACCCCACCTCCCTCACTGGACCAGTCAGCAGGCTGAGTTCTGCCGCACACTCCATGCAGCCGCGGCGAGGTTCCTCGGACCCTCTTTCCTCTGCTGCTAAGAGCATGTCCCCCCCGCCCCCGACATTCTCTGACAGCCAGGCAGCATCCTCCCCCTGCTCCCTGGACACTGTGCAGACCATTTTTCAGCTGAATGCAAAGCTCGCCCCATTCACCAAGGCCTGAGAGATGCTGTGGCCTCAGATGCAGGGGAAGCAGAGCTCAGCCCCAGGTCTGTCCCTGGCCCGCGGGGTGACCTTGCGGTTATCCGTCTAGAGCAGCCGTGTCCAACAACAACCTGATCTGGGGGGCATCATTTTGAAAATTCTAGCAGTACCACCTTCCAAGAGAGTGCCAGTAAAGCCGGGCACAGAGGCGAGTGCCTCTCAGCCAAGCGCTCTGGGAGGCCGAGGCAGGAGGAGAGCAAGTTTAAGGCTACCTTGGGCGATGGTAGTGACTTACCGAGACCCTGCTACTTTAGGCAGGCTGTGGTTTTAATCTATCTCTGTTTGTTTCTCAGTTATCTTATCATGCTCCGCTTTATCAGTGAGAATCCCCTGAGTTTAATCCCCAGAACAGCAAAAAGTAAAAAAAAGGAAACGAGTAAATTAATTGTAATGTTTTTCACACCATTTATTAATGGTATCATTTTGATATGTAATCAGTGTAAGAAGTTATTACCAAGGCGCTTTGATTCTAAGCTTTTGGTGCGTATTGTACACAGCACGTAGCCTGAGTTCTTGGTGACCACAGGTGACAAGTGACTCTGGTCTCACAAAGTGGTTCCTGTCTGTCTGGTGGAGCTGCCGTGGATACAAACCAGAGGAAGCTTGGGGACTGCTCCGAAGAATTAGGGTCTTAGGGCCATCCCCAGGACCATAGGACAGCGCAGGGCCGAGGTGGGAGCTTCCGCCCTGACCCTAGCAGTGGCCTTGTAAAGCCAAATGAGCTGAGAAACAGAGATGATTAAAACCCTCATTGCCAAAAAAGTGCTTATACCTCGGGCTAAGCTGTACAGGGGCAGAATTTAGCGCCTGCTGAAATTTGAAAAATAATCTTACAACCAAGAGAGAAAGACAGAAATGTGGGTTGTTTTTTTTTCCCCTGCCTAAACCATGGTGTGTGATGCTTTTTGTTAAGTTGTATTTTAATGGAAATGTTAAATCTGTGTCTTTTGTTTTTGTTTTTAAGGAAATGGAGAAAGGAAGGAAGCTAGAGGGTTTAAATTCGTTTTGCTAGCTCTAGATTCTGCAAAATCAGGAAATCAGAAAGTACAAGTTCTCAGGGGAGTGACCTTTAGCTTGATTGGGAAGGGCACACCCAAGGTCACCCTTTTAAGGAGTTTGTCTTCCTTTCAACAGTTTTTTTTGCACAGCGGTCTTTGGGAGCTCAGCACTTTTTGTTCTGTCTTTCTCAGTGTGGGAACAGAAGTTGGTTGGAGCCTTGTCTCGCTTGATTCTGGGAGTGCCTTGTCCTTAGCGCCCCCTCCGTCTGTCCTTCTTCACAGCACAACTCTGTCAGGGTTTGTTGATTGACTCACTGATAATGCCTAGCAAGAGGAGTTGGGAGGGGACTCTTCTCACTCTGCTTCAGAGGACTGGGCACTTTTCGCATAAGTTAATTCAGGCTCCAAGAGTATTTTTATTGTGTTGATTCCCTTAAAAACTTTTTTATTTTAAGTATTCTAAGGAATGCTCTGTTAGGACTCTATTTGTACTTCTCTAGGACCTGGACAACTCTACGGGTCCGGGAATAGCCTGTTTCTATTCTCAGTGCGTATTCCTTCCAGGTCTCCCTCTCTCCCACCCTGCCTCTTTTCCACCTCATCTCTTCTCAGAACCATCAGAATCCAAAAACATACATCGGTCTGAGGAAGCCAGGGAGAGTCCCTTAAAGAAACCGTGCCTTTAGGGGTCTTAGGTGTCACCCAGGAGGTCCTTTTCCGTCTCTCTAGTCACGATCCTATAATTCTTGCCTGGGCACCAGAAGGCTGGCAAGCCGGCGCCTGGCTTCCTTGCGCGGGGACTTCCTTCCACCGTCGGGCTGCCGGCAGACAAAGCCCCTGCCTGCGTGCAGTGCCAGGATCCAGGCCAGATCCACGCTTCTGCGTCCACGAACACAGCACACTTAGGAGCACACTCACCTCTCCCGTGAGAGGCCTCCCAGCACAGGAAGACCAGTCAGTCCCACACTGCCTTGAGGTTTTGGTGGCCTGACCTCACGCTGCTGCTCCCCTCGGCTGTGGGACGGTATGAGGGCAGACACCACCTGCTCTGCCTGGAACAGTCTCCGAGCTCAGCCATAGCGTCCTGCTCTTCCTGAGGGTGCTGCAGTTTGGATGAGCAGCGCTGATGGCCTGGCGGGTATCAGTCCAGCCTCGTCCCAGGCTCCGCCTTCCGGAAGACATTTTCCCCCAGCGCAGCGCCCTCTCCCCTCAGCCTTTCCCCTCTGTGCAGATGCGCTGCCTCTGCTGTTTCTCCCCGTGCAGATCCCCAGTTTTCAGTCTCCTGCAGAGGATTCTCCCTGAGGCCTCTCCTCCCCTCCCCCAGCTTCCCTATTGTTAGGAGCAGCTATTTAAGCCCAGACTTTCCTAGCTCGCTGCATTTTTTTAAGCTCTTGAATGAAAGAACATGTTTTTCTTCCCTTCCCTCATTTAGATAACAGTCCTGTCATAGTGGGGCGGACCGGTGCAGGGCAGGAGGACCCATAGTACGGACTGTGAAGTGGGTCTCCAGTGTGGACTCTTGGGTCTTCATTAACATCTGCAAGATCAGTATCGTTTGTTCCGCTCTCCAGCTAGTCCTCCCTCAGCTTGTTGCTGCAGTTTATTGTTAATCAGCTGGCAGGACAGTTTCAGGAGAACTACTTGTAGTTGGGGATGGAGCTGAGTGGTAGAGCGCTAGCCTAACAGGGGTCCTGGGTTCCGTTCTCAGCACCCACACGCACCACACTGTAGAACGTGTTCAGGCTACTATGCCTTGGCATTAAGTGCTTAAGATCCTCTTGTGTCTCTGTTTAAAGACCTGGGAACATGCCAGCTACGTTTACATTATTCCCAGGGGAGCCAGTGTTTTGAAATGATCTGGACTGAAGCCAGGTGTGGTGGCACACACTTGTAATCCCAGTGCTCTGGGAAGCTGAGGCAAGAGGATCACAAGTTTGAGCCCAGCCTGGTCAATTTAGTGACTTAGTGAGATCCTGTCTCAGAATAGAAAGGGCTGGGGCCGGGGCTCACTGCAGAGACTCTGGGTTCAATACCTCGTGGAAGGAAGAAAAAGGAAGGGAGGAAGGAAGGAAGGAAGGGAGGGAAGAAGGAAGGAAGGAAGGAAGGAAGAAAGGAAGGAAGGAAAAAAGAGAGAAATCATCTGAGTCTTAGCAGAATTAAGTTCTAGCAACTGAGCAAGGAACGGAAGGAAGGCAGGGACCCAGGAGGGGAGTCTGGGGTGTGGGTTGCAGAGGGGACCCCCTGCTCAGAGGCAGGGGTGTCTGAGGGGCAGGATGGGGGTCACAGAGAAAGGGAGGCAGGGTTTGCACCACTCACTCACGACTAGACAGACCCCAACCCATCTATGTGCAGCACCTTAGGACGGGCACCCGCGGGGCCAGTATGGGTGCTTGTTCTCTTGGCAAGGACAGGCCTACAGAGTTAGCTTTGAGAGACCCCTGCAGGTCACGGACCCCACTGTGAACATCGCCCCCTGGAGGTGTGAGATGCAGCGGGTGGAGGATGCAGAATCCAGCCCTTGGGAGGAAGTAAGAGGGATGAATCAACCTGGCGTCCCAGCCCATGTGAGGCTTGGGGTAAAACCTTGAATTCCTTTGTTGATTCATTGAGTAACTGTGGAAGGGCTCCCAGGAGGGGCTTTTCAGTAGGAGGCACACAGTGGGGGGAAGCAGGCACTGCCAGTGGTGGGAGCGCTGGGGGATGGGCAGTGGGGGTACCTGGCACAAAGAGGTGACACAGCCCTCCTTTTACGGGAGCGCTCTGGCTGCTGTGATAAAGACAGGAAGGGCGCGGGTAGGAAATCGGACAGATACGGGGCAGTGTGGCCTCGTGGGGGCAGTGGAAATGGCGTGGGAAGAGCTGTCAGATTCTGGGTCTATTTTGAAGGGACAGTAGGAAGATTGTGGGTGGACTGAATGCGGGGCGGAGGGGAGGAAGGGGTCGGGGATGCCTTGGAACAACCGGAAGGAAGATGGAGCCGGATCGGGGAGGCTTTGGGGTGCCCAGTGGGGTGCAGGTGGGCGGCGGGTGCTGGGGTCTGGGAGGCAGCGTCGCCCGTGGACCCCTGGATCGATGATTCTTCAAGCCCTGAGGCCACAGGAGATCCCTGCTGAGCCCGTGTGTATACCTTAGCGAGACGACGGAGAACAGGGAGGGAGCACCCAAAGATACGGGAGGCACCTGGAGGGCGTCCGTCCCTGAAGCCAAGCAGGAGAGTGTGCGGAGGAAGAGGGAGGAGCGGCCACCCGGGTCAGCTGTTGCTGGAGAGTGAGTGTAACGAGGGCTGAGAAACAAGCTTAAGGGTGGCCAGTGGAAGCCATGTCTGCCCCAAGATGGCCTTAGCACTCTGCGGGGAGCAGGACGGACCCAGCGTAGTGCATGAAGACAGATGCTGGCCACAGGAGGCTCCTCTCCAAAGTCCCAGGGTGCCTGGCCCCTGAGAAGCTGCAGAGTTCCAGGAGCAGTGTGGTTCACTGTTGGCCCTGGGGGACACGGTGCAGAGTGGCTGTGGCCCAGCACTGGCCTAGGAGCTCGAACCCTCTGCGTTCCTTCCCAGGGGTGGAGGACCAAAGGCTGCCTTCCTACCAGGCCTCACACCCTCCCCTCTTCCCTCTTAGGTGGGGTGGTTGGCTGCAGAGGCATCAGCTGGCTGCAGAGTAAACGAGAGGATAGGTAGGGGCCAGGTCCACATGGCTAATCTTCAAGTTACAGGGTAAGACCCAAGGGCCTCTTCAAAGTGGACCAGCATTTGTGTGCATGCTGAAAGGGGCTGGCCAGATAGAAACCTTTAAAGGATGGCCATGCCCCTGGTCACTGAGTGACCGTCCCTCCTCTGCACAAGAAGGTCTCCATCCAAATGGCCGTCCGGTTTCCTCCTGGCATGCACAGTGCTGATTCAGTGCAGTGGCTTATTTACTGCTGCTGCTAGTGCCGACTGCCTTGATTCTGGTCTCCAGATGTAACAAAGCCGTGCAGGGAGCCCAATTACCCACTGGGAGAAAATCGGCGATGGCTATCTCAGCACAAGTGAATGGGTGGAGTTTCAGCTGCCAAGTACTCCCAGGCTTCAGCCGGCTTAGAGGAACCTTCAGCTGGCCTTGGAGGAAAACACAATTAGATCAAAATGGATTTAATTGCTTCGTGAATTCTAAATGTGTTAAAATGTAAAGCCAAGCTGTTTGGAGGGTGTTCTGTGGGGAGCTGTTTATCACGGTGACCCTCCCAACGCACTGCCCCACCCAGATGCTCCCTACCTAACCTGTACTTCCATTGTCTCCGGAGATCCTCAGATAGTAGTAAGAATCCAGCGAAGCCAGTACAACCACTTCTGCTAAATAGATGATGAGCCTGGGCTTATTGAGGTGACAGATTTGCCTCTGGCAGCACCCGGCTCCCAGCCCAGGGCTCCTGACTTCCACATCTGGCTGTTGAGGGGAGGTGGGAGAGGAAGGAACCCACTTGACAAGTGTACTCAGGGATATTGCCCCTGGCATTTATTAATAACACAAGACACTCTCAAGGCATTCTCCTTATCTGGTGAAATCACTCTGTCTAGTTTTCTGATATGAATATCCCCAAGAAGCATTTGGCCAGCGTCTGGTTGGTAGATGGCAGTGACTAACAATCCTCCCTCCCCCTTGTTCCCCAATGGCCGATGTCACCATGGGAGCCGACATCCTAGGCGTCCAATCATCTCTGTCAAGAGTGAATGCTGAGAGCTTTTGACAGGATCCAGTCCATTCGGATGGGAGGCTGCGGGGGGCGGTTTCCTTCATAACTGAAACAATCAATGATCCTGTTTTTAGGGATGGGTTTGCATCCCTCCGAAGGGCCCCGTCTGTCTCTGCAGATGCTTGATCAAGTACACCATGAGCAGACAGCTCAGCAGGCTCCGTACGGATTGAAAAACTGACCAAGGAACTAACCTTCCCTGGAAGCAAAGATGTCCAATTAGCACATGGCCTGTTCTCATTACTATGACCATTATTATTACAGCCTTTCCCCCTTAGCCAAACACATTCTCACAGACGTGTCCTGTTTCGGATCTATCTCCTGAAAGCCTAATAGGATTTTCACATTTTACTTCCAGCATTGAAAACGATGTAGAGAGCGAGAAAGTGACAGCTAAGCTAGAACCTAGTCCTTTAACAAAAAAGAAAGAAAGAAATAGAACAGAAATTTGGGCTGGGGATGCAGCTCCGTGACACAAACACCTGCCTGGCAAGCACAAGTTCGATTCCTGGTACAAAAAAAAAAAAAAGAAGAAAGAACTTGAATAGAACCTAGTCCTTAAATCCCAAAGTCTTGTTAAGAAGAAATCTCTCCCAATTACTTTTTTATTTTTATCTTTTTTTCTATCCTGAGGTGAATATTTTGAGAAACTTGGGATCATATTTATTCAGATAATTATATTTAATTTTCAGAGCTTAAACAAATGGATTTTTTTTTCTACTTGTACGGTTTTAGGATTCACAGGAAAAAAAAAAATCAAATCTAGTCTCCTCCTCAAGCAGTTGGATTCACATTTTCTCCAAAACTGTGAGGGCTTGGGAATCAGCTTTAAATTTAGAGCTTGCTCATGGTGAGGTTGTTGGGGGGTCCTGTGACTCTGGAGAATTACGCAGTAACATGGCAGCTGGATTTGATTCCTTTGTGAAGATGCAAGTGAATGTCTTCAGTGGTTCCCCCCACCAGCATCCTTACAGCAATCTCCAGATGTGTTATTTGTTATTAAAATCACCATATGTATGTGTGGGAGTTTGCGGTGACTTCCCCAGATGTGGTGATCCTAATTGTAACCATACAGGTTACTCAAACATCGCTTGGGTATTTAAAACAAGAGCATCTAGGCCAGCGTGCGCTGTTGGCTGAACGTGCTGTAGGGGTGAAAGGGCGCCTTATGGTGGCTCGCGTTCAGTTCTGTTAGCGCCAAGAATTATCTTCTGATGTCAAACATCATGCAGTTGATCAGAGTCCTTCAAGGTGACCTATTTTAGATCAAGAGTCGTAATATATTTACCGATCCTCAGGCTTTGCTTATATTTGTAAACAGCAAGCAGAAAATCTAGGAAGACTGCTC